TCTCTTGGTGGAATTCCTGGGTCGTAAGATAACTCTGTTTAATTTTTTGAGGAATTGTCTAATTGTTATCCAAAGTAGCTATACCATTTTACATTCCCACCAGCAATATAAGTGTTCCAATTTCTCCACATCCTTGCCAATACTTATTCTCTGTCTTTTTGACCATTGCTATCCTAGTGGATGGGAAGTAGTGCCTTGTGATTTGAATTTGCATTTTCCTAATGACTAATGATATTGAGCAACTTTTTTTTTTTTTGGGTGGAGTCTCGCTCTGTCGCCCAGGCTGGAGTGCAGTAGTGTGATCTCGGCTCACTGCAACCTCCCCATCCCAGGCTCAAGCAATTCTCCTGCCTCATACCCCTGATAGCTGGGATTACAGGCGTGCACCACCACACCCAGCTAATTTTTGTACTTTTTGTAGAGATGGGGTTTCGCCATGTTGCCTAGGCTGGTCTCAAACTCCTGGACTCAAGTGAACTGCCCACCTCAGCCTCCCAAACTGTTGGGATTACAGGTGTGAGCCACCATGCCCAGCCCAACATTGGACACTTTTGTATGTGTTTATTGGTCATTTGTATATCTTCTTTGGAGAAATGTCTCTTCAAATCCTTTGCCCATTTTTAATTGGTTATTGGTCTATTTATTATTCAGTTGTAAGAATCCTTTATGTATTCCAAATATGAGACCATTATAAGATATATGATTTGCAAATACTTCCCCCATTTTGTGGGTTGTCTTTTCACTTTCTTGATAGTGTCCTTTGAAGCATGAAAGTTTTTAATGAAGTTCATTAAACTTTTTTTTTTAAAGTTTTAAATGAAGTTCATTAAAAAAATGTTTTGATGAAGTTTAAGTATTTGTTTTTGTTTGCTTGCATTTTTGGTGTCATATCTAAGAAACATGGCCTAATCCAAAGTCATGAAGATTTACATGTATGTTTTTCCTTTTAAGAATGTTACAGTTTAGCCATTTAGGTCTTTGATCCATTTTGAGTTAATTTTAGTTTATAGTGTGAAGTAGGGGTCTAACTTCATTCTTTTACATGTGAATATCCAATTTTCCCAGCACCACTTGTTGAAAAGACAATTATTTCCCAATTGAATTGTTTTAGTATCCTTGTCCAAACATAATTGACCCATGAATCAATGTATGTGTTTATTTCTGTACTCTCAATTCTATTCCAGTGATCTATGTGTCTATCCTTATGCTACTACTATACAGTCCTGGTTATTGTAGCTTTGTAGTAAGTTTTGAAATTGGAAAGTATAAGTCCTCAAACTTCGTTCTTCTTCTTCAAGGTTATTTTGGCTGTTATGGGTCCCTAGAACTTCCATATAAACTTGAGGATTTGTTTGTCATTTCTGCAAAAAAGCCCGCTGGGATTTTGGTAAAGATTCCATTGATCTGTAGATCGCTTTGGGGAGTCTTGCCATTTAACAATATTAACTAATTCAATCCATGAATACAGGAGGATGCCTTTCCATTTATTTAGCTCTTCTCTAATTTCTTTCACCAAGGTTTTGGAGTTTCAGTGTATAAGACTTACACTTCTTTTTAAAATTTATTCCTAAGTATTTTATTCTTTTTAATGCTATTGTATATGAAATTATTTTAATTTCATTTTCAGGTTATTCGTTGCCCATGTACAAAAAGACAATTGACTTTTATGTATTGATCTTGTGCCCTGATACTTTACTGAACTCATTTATTATTTCTAATGGAGCAAGTTAGAACATCACAATGCTTACTGTTCTTACTGAGATTCAGCCATTTTTCTTATGTAAATGCTACCCAGACTGCTGTAAGTCTTTGCTCAATTTCCAGAGTTTCAGAAAAGTTGAATTCTGACCATTTTTGCCAGGATTCACATTGCTTTTATGGAGAAGAGAGTCTTTTGAGGTCCTTATTCCACCATTTTCACTGACATCACCCAGCTTGAGGAAGTTTTCTATGCTTCCATTTCCCCAACTGCACAATGAATTGCTTATCTTTCCATAATTTTTTGGAGATGATTAACCAGGTAATGTGGTAAAGTGCCTGACATTACCTGGCACTAATAAGTATACAGGCAACTTCTTGTCACCAGAGACACAGGAAGGAACTGGCAATGGATGTTCAGTGGCTGCCTGGCCGTGTTTGTGAGCACACAGCGGTGCAATCCTCGGAAGACTGAGTTTGGCCCCAAACAGCCTCCTGGCTGGGCCCCAGCCTGGGCTACAGTCAGTTCTTCAGACTCCAAACCCGCCTCTCCCTCCCACAGTGCACCACCTCAGTGTCCGCTCCCTACCAGGAATGTGTTACCGCTCCAGGTAAAGGAGGGGCTGAGCGCAATTATGCTCACAAGGCCAAGTGAGGTCCATAAAGCCTAAAGGCAGCCAAAGCCATCTCAGGCCTCAACCAGGTTGGGGGAGGCAGAAAAATCCATCCTTTTAAACCACACCAGCTCCACCCACCTCCACTTCAGGCCAGCCCTGGTTAGTAGGACCTTCATGAGTGGTTCTGAGAAGACTAAACCCGGAGATTATGTGATCTGTGGTATCATCCTGAGAGAGCAACTGAGTCATGCAGTTAACCTGGATGCCCATCCAGTGCCTTCTCCCGGCTGCACAGGGCTCCCAAGCACATTAGCTCAGCCTCAGTAGCTCTGAGGGGGTGGTTCATGAGCTGGGCACACACAGCTCCATCCAGATGCTCCACTCATACCCACACCCCCTGAGCTCCTGACCAACTTGACAGCTGTTATCCCCTTTTCTGGAAAAGCCTCTCCCTCCACCCCTACATGCTCACCTCAGTCTTTTAAGGTCTGGTTCACGTGACCTCCCAAAAGACCCTCCGTGGAATCTTCTTTGCAACCGCTTTCCCTCATACATGTACTCACCCATTCAGCAAATACTTGCCGAGCGCTTGATGTGTTTCAGACACCATCCTGGGTGCTGGAGGCACCACAGTGAACTTGCTCTCAGGGAACACACATTCTAGTGGCAAGAGCCTGCAAGTAAACAGGTAAATGTATAATGTGCAAGTGGTGACAGACTCTGAGAATAAAAGGGAAAAGGTGGCTCACACCTGTAATCTCAGCACTTTGGGAGGCTGAGTTGAGAGCATCACTTGAGCCCAGGAGATTGAGACCAGCCCAGGTAAGACAGTGAGACCCCACCTGTACAAAAAAAAATGCAAAAATTAGGCAAGTGTGATGGTGCATGCCTGTAGTCCCAGCTACTTGGGAGGCTGAGGTAGAAGGATTGCTTCAGCCCAGGAGGTTGAGGCTGCAGTGAGCTATGATCAGGCTACTGCACTCCAGCCTGGGCAACAGAGTGAGACCCTGTCTCCAAAAAAAATTCAAAAAAAAAAAAGGTTAGAATTAAGTTAGGGGACACTATTTTAGGTAAGGTACACAGGGAGGCCTCTCTGATAAGGTAATAACTGAACAGAAACCTGAAGGAAGGCAGTGAGCTGTGCAAATATCAAGAAGGGTGTTCTACTCAGAGGGAACAGCAAGTACAAAGGCCCTGTGGTGGGATCGTGGGAATCTTAGAGAACAGCAGGGAGGCTGGGGTGGCCAGACTGGCAGAAATGAGGAGGAGAGCAGCAGACAATGAGCCCAGGAGACAGCAGGCACCAGACCTGGCCAGCCTTAGAGATTACGGTAAGAACTTGGGATGTCCCACGATGTGGGTTTTGAATCCAGTGAAGGTTCCGAAGAGAAGGGTGACATTCTCCGAATTGCATTTTGAAAGGACCGCTCTGGGTGCCACGTTGAGAACAGACTGTGACGGGCCAGGGATGGACTCAGAGGGACCAGTTAGGAGGTGGTTGCGGTAATTCAGACCTGATAAGATGCTAGCAGAGGTGGTGAGCAGCCGTCAGAATCCAGATATATTTGGGATGTGGAGCCAGTAAGACAGATGTGAAATGTGAGAGAAAGAGGAATCAAAGATGACCCCAAGGCCATTGACTTGCGATACTGAAAACATGAAGCTGCCATTTATGGAGATGGGGAAACCAAGCACATGGAGTAGAATGGGTGAGTCTTGACCTTGACCTTCTGCCTCCAAGGTCATGCTCCTCTCTCACAGATGCAGCCCCAGTTATGGCATGACATGACTTCAGCGGTGTCTTCCCGAGCCATTGGCAGACATCTGCAAGTTTTATCTTTTGATTGGGGGCACCTTGGACATCTCCAACTGAGATCGTCTTTCCTCCAGTCGTGTTGTCTGAATGTACTGGGAAGCAGCAGGGCTTGTCTAGGTCATGATGGTGACAAGAGGCAGCAGGCTGGACACCCCCGTGAGCAGACCCAAGCTGAGGCAAAGTCAGGCTCACTCCAGCAGGGCTGGTAGGAGCGGAGGAGCAGGTATCAGGGCAGGAGGCCTCGCCTCGCCTGCACAGTAGAATCACGGGGGAATTTCTGCCCGGGTCCTACTCCAGGCCAATTGCCAGAATGTGGGGGTAGGAGCCAGGCGTCCGTGGTTTTTAAAGTTCCCTAGTATTCGGCCAAGGTCGAGAGCAATTTCCTTCAGTCAGCAAGTGTGTCTTCAGTGCTTCTTGTTGTTTGCTGATTCCAACTATGCTTAGCAAGAACCTAGGCACTGTGGGGGGAAGAAACACCCCTGTCCTTACAAATTAAGGTGAAGCAGACAGGGACTGCAGGGCATTCTCCTCCGACTCTGCACTGAAATCAAATCAGACTCTCCGAGATAACATTGAGTCCTCCTAGTCTCATTTTATGCATCTCCATCTCTAGCCCTGCTTTGAAGGTGAAGCATATTTCAGAGATTATTTTTAAATGCAATCTGGCAAAGCCCTGCCCAGAAAGTCTCCCAAAAGGGCCCATGGTGTGTGGAATGTGGCAGAGAGGTGACAGAGTGCGGGCTGAGCCAGCGATGTCCCAGGTGTTCCTTTCCTGGCCATGGGCACTGGGACAGGCTGGAGTGGTAGGCAGGACTGAGAGGAGAGTGAGAGAATGGCAGTTCCCCCAGGGCAGACTGACCCACAGACAGGTCCAATTTCAATTCCAGATGCAGGAGGCTGAGATGCAGGCTCCTGCTCCCCACATTCATGCCCATCAGCAAGCCATGCCATATCCAGCAGACAGATAGCTGTTCAGTGCACAGAATACCCCTCCAGGCCAGCAGCAGCTGTCACCCCTCTTCAGTCATCTGCTCTTCAGACACTTCTGTGGACAGAGCCCAGATAACTTGATTAAGGTAAGATGAAATGAGAAACATTTGCTCCTTTAAAATCGCTAACATCTGTCCTGGCCAGCAGAGCCACGGCTCTTTGTAACTGAGGAAAGACAATCCCTGAGAAGTCTGGGTGTGGGAACGATGGCGCTCCCGGTGCACCCACCTCCCACCTGCCTGCCCCTGGGAGCCTGCAGGGAAGACAAGGCATTGCTGTACAAGGACCTGGACTTGAGTCTTGACTCCACCAAGACTCTGTGTGCCCTTGAGGCAGGTGGTGACCTCTCTGGGCTTCAGTTTCCTCGCAGGTTTGCCGGGAGGAGGAGCTAGAGGATGCGAGCAGGTGCAGAAGACATGAGGCGGTGCTCCATTTGCCCCTGCAAAGACCTCCTTCCTTCCTGTGAGCCCGGAAGGAAGAGAGTGAAACCACCGGCACATGGCCACAGCCTGACCTTATGGAGGTGGCCTCAGTGGCTGCGGATGGGTCTGGCTTTAGTGTCTGGTCAAGTGAATAAATGACTTTCAAGAACTGTGCACAGGGAGGTGTTTGGCAGGTGGACCCAGGGCTGGCCCCAGAGAGAGACCACTGTGATGCCGCTTCATAGCTGATGACATGAGGCCGAGACGCATCTGAAGATATGACAATTACTCATTGCCTGTCCAAGTCAGTGAGGACACAGGGAAGGAGCCAGGGATGGCGGTTCTGGCATTTCCCACGTCTACAAGATGGCATCACCTAACACGGCCGCAGCTTCCCCACTTCTGTGCAGGCTCCAGACTGGGTCCCTATGGTGGATTAATGATGGCCACAATTCCTTGTCATTCTCCCATCAAGAGGTGGAGTTTCCTTCCCTCCCATGGACCTGGGCTGGCCACAACAGCTTAACCAAAGGAAGGAGGAAGAAGTGACGCTGGGCCAGCTTCTGGCTAAGTGTTAAGAAGGCTTCTGCTTCCGCACTTTGAGGAGCCCTGAGCCTCCATGTGAGAAGTCCCCAGCTCCCTTCACCAGAAAGGCAGCATGGAGACACCTCATAGAGAGGCCACATAGGGAGCCAAGGCCTTGAGACGACGTGGAGAGGCAGCTGTTCTGGGCCCCTGGGAGAGCGTCCAGGGGACTCCAGCCCAGGCACCTTCTGCCTGCAACCTCCCAAGAGACCCCAAGTGAGACCAGCCAACAATCGCCCAACTGAGCCTAGTCAACCTGAGGAACCATGGCAGGGAATAAGCGCTTGCTGTTCCAAGCTGTTAAGTTCGGGGTGGTTTATTACGCAGCAGTGGATCGGTAAGACCTCTCCATTACTGTCTTTAGGTAACTTTCTGCTGCCTTCGTCTAAGAGCCGGGCCCCAGAAATCGGAAATGCTCCTGCATCAGGGTCCCTGTAGGGCATCTCCACAGCATCCCTTGTGGTGCACGTGTCTTCAGGTCACCTCCGACTTTTATGTGTCACACAATATTCAAGTGTAGAGGATGCAGGAGGCACCAGATGGACCTCGAATTGTGAAATCCCAGGAGCCCATCTCCTGGTTCTTGTGGGCAGGCTTAAAACACAAACAAGCCCTCCTGATTTGTTTTCATCCTCTTCCCTCTCCTGGGACCGATTCTGATTCAGCCCCTCGGAAGTGCCGTCTGTTCTGGCCACTCAGTGCCCTTCAGGCCTGGCTTGTGCTCACGCTGTCGGCCTGGGGCCCACTCCCAGCATCAGGGCAGCTTGGTTCTTGCAGCCTCTTGAGTGCGGACTCAGCCTCCTCAAATCCCTGCAAGGCCTCCTGCTTCAGGGCAGCTCTGACGGGGTGGCCCGAGCCGCGTCCTCACCAGCACATCCTGATGAACCCAGCCAGCCTCCAGACTCCCCTAACCACTGGCACTCCCTGACAGGAGCCCCAGTCTTCCAGATCAACAGGGAGATACTAAAAACTCTCATTCTGAACCAAGTAACTCTCTCTAAAAGAGAGCCAAGGCCCCTTCACTCACTTTGGCCCCTACTCTAAGCTTTGGCCTTGGAGGGACAAGTATGGTTTATAGATATTTTTAGGAACAATTTCAAATGTACACGAAAGCAGAGAGAGATGCAGATTAGACTCCCATGGGCCGTCCCCAGGGCTCATGGCCATTCTCATTTCCCATCGCCTAGCCTCTGTCTCTGCACTCCAGGTTACTCTGAGGCAAATCCTGGCTATCACATCATTTCGTTGTAAATATTGAGGCACGCAGCTCTAGAAGCGAGGACTCCCCTCTTCAGCTACAGTACCATCGTCCACACTTTCTGAGAATCTCATCTGGGCCGGGCCCTGCCCCAAATGCCTCCCAGGTAAGGCCCACTGTGGAATGTGCCAGAAATGAGACCGTAGGGCTGGCTCTGAGGCATCAGCTCCCCGGTTTGGGGGACTCCATAGAACATGGTAGGGTCAGAAGCCAGAGGAGAGTGAGAGAATCACAGACACACACGCAGGACGAGATTCCGAAAGCCGACTAGACTTGGATGCAGCCATGGTGCTGCCCTGTGCACCGACACCCCACTCGTCACCTTCCCCACCAGAGCTGCCTGGCCTGGTTTTAGTGTCCTTGGGTGGCCTCAGAGCTGCAGACTCCCTGAAGGTAAAAATGGCTTAGTTGTTCACTGTCACCCTGAGAATAGTGCAGATTCCAGTGAACAGCCAGGCCCAGCAAGGGCCATCTGCCCGTGGACCCCGCACCAGCGTCCCTGTGCTGCCCTCCTCGGCGCTACCCAGAATGCCTCACTCAGAAGCATGGCGGGACTCCTGGCTTTCCCATACATGTGAAACAGGGTCCAGAGCAGGGGAAATAAATACAAGAAATTAAAGGCTGTTTTCATTAAGTAAAATTTTGAAAACAAGTTAGCTTGCAGATTCCTAAAACACAGTAATTATGCCTTTATGCTGTTTTGTGTCTCTCATAGTTTCTATACCAACATTTCTAACCTTGACACTATGGAATTTCAAGCCAGACCCTTCTTTGTTGTGGGGGGCCATTCTGAGCATTGTAGATCCCTAGTCTGTACCCCCGGATGCTAGCAGCAGCCTTTCTTCTCCAAGCTGCGACAACCAAAAATGTCTGCAGACGTTGCCAAATGTGCCCTGGGAGGCAAAGCTACCCTTTGGTTGACAGCCGCTGATCTATACAACAGTGAGTATTGAATTCATTTGTATCTTCATTTATTTCTATTTGTCTTCAGTTCCCTCTGAAAGAGATGTTTACTAGATAAATTAGAAATGAGGGGGCGACTGAGGATTTTCTCTTTAAGAGCCTCATGTTTGTCTGTCTTAAGGGTTTTGATAAAACTTGCCAGCAGTTTTGTGATCACAATGGCTATTAAGACTCAAATACATATATTATACTTAAACCAGAAGCAGCTCAACAAAATAAAAACTAAGCAAGTAATTGTGGTATATTGAGTAATAAGACTAACTTTTTTTGTTTTTCAAATTTTTTTTTTTTTTACAGAAGATGGTCGCTACGGTTGGAGACAGAAATAAGTCGACCTACTGTGATATGTTTCCCATAGACTCTTTCTGAGAACTCAGGTCGTAGTTTTACAGGACTCAACCAAAGATTTTTTATCCATTGTTTGGATTTTTTTTCTCATTCCATTATTTTTCCTTTTTTATTGCGCCCCTAAAAGAGGCAAAACACCCTTCACAGTGTCCACATTGCAGCAAAAGCTATAATATCTGTGGGATGATTTACATCTAGCTAAAAATTTAGAAGTTTCTGGAGCAATCAGTCCTCGCTTTCGCTGATGATTTCAGTAGATTGCTTGGCCCTGCCCTGCTCTCAGGAAGTCCAGATGTCTTCCTTGAGCTCGCAGATACTGGTGCTGGGGGAAAGGTCCCAGGTTAATGATCACCAGGCCAAGGCAGGCTGGCTGAGTAGCTACAGAGATGCTCACCATGGGCCTCAGGGTTGAGGCTCCAGGAGCTCAGGTCTCAGGCCAATGCCATGTGGCCACAGTGCCTGCTGAGGGTGCAGCCCCGCGAATCCCCAGATACAGTGCAAGGGCTTCCTTATAGATGAATTGTCACTTTAGTAAGCAGAGAGCAGGGCCATGAGGTAATGGACTGAGAACAGGCAGGGCTGGTGAAGAAATAGAGCAAGGAATGGGTATCTGTAGCCCCTTGGAAGAAGCAGCAGAGAGCTCCATGGGAGTGGGAGGCCGGAACGGAGCGGCTGATCTGCCTCCCAAAACTGTGCCTTAGACCGAACCTCTCTCCAGCCCGAAAATAGGCCAGGAGGGCTGGACTGCCTGTCCCTGCAGCCTCTTTAGGGTGGGGGTGGCAAGAATGTTCCTCTGCAGCGACACATCCAAGCCTCTCCCACGTTGTCAGCCACTCTGCTTTGAGGCTGAGCTCCAACCCCTCCCAGGAAGGAGGAAGAAAAGACTCATGGCGGAGACCAAGTCCCAGCAGGCATCTCCTTAGGACAGAAGATGGAAAGTTAACCTTTTCTGCTTGCTGAGCAGGCAGAGAAAGGAAGGCTGTTGTGAAGATTGGGACCCTGGGCACACTCCGTGCTTGGGGACACGACGTGCCCTTGACCACAGTGCACAGGGCAGAGGGTTGGAAAGCACTGACCGTTCTGCACAGGGGAGCCATTCAGGGCCCTGGGTTCCCACAGGGCTGGCCAGTCAGCGCCTTGCGGGTGCCCAGCTGGGCTGGGAGTGTCCCCTCTCCCACGGTGGTAAACAAGGCTGGCCTCGGGAGGAGCTGCACAGACGGCCCGGTACACCCAGCAGGCCGAGCCCAGCTCATTCCACTGAGCCGTGGGGGCCCTGGGGACTTAACCAGAAGCCCGTGTCTGCTAACAGAAGGCACTTTGTTTCCTGGAGTGGGCGGCACTTTCTTCTCCTCTCCCTTCACAGAGGACAAGCCCACGAGCAATGTTTAAGTTTTGTTATTCCCAGCTGCAAAAATGTAAATGGTGCGAGCTCACACTTGACCGGAAAAATAGACAGAATTTCCCTGGACCGGTGCCGGGCCTGCACCCACTGCTCGGCCAGGAGGCAGCCTCCCCGAGGGAGGCCAGGGGCTGGGAGGTGGAAGTGCACATAAGAATCCGAAGTAAGAGCCACCACAAAGGTGACCCACGTGGACACCTCACCACACTGCACTGCCATCCCACTGTCGTGTTATGCAACCGGCCATCGTATCCCGGGCTGCCCGGTGCGGATCCTGTGGCCGTCCGCTGTCCTTCTCCAGATCAACAGTCATTCGTTCCTGGAGCCCTTTCATGGCGTCCATTTAATTCCCCATTACAATAAATTCATTCAATTCATTCATTCATTCCCATTCATGTATTTATCAACCATCAATCCAGGCACTGGCCTCTGGGGTCAGAGAATGGAAATGGCGACAGAATGGGAAGAGAGCGGCTCTGTGAAACAGCAATAAACTAACAATTACAAGAGGATGGATAACGCAGCAACAACAAGTACTAACCACTAAACCTTGGTGCAAAGCGCTGCCCCAATAAGAACCATTGGAATCTTCCGCCGGCTGATCAAGGATCATTCATCCCTGTTTACAGAGCGAGGCTGGCCAACTCAGGCCACGGCCACATGGTTGTAAGCACCGAGCAAGAGGACAACCCCAGAATGCCCGCAAAGCTCTCCCCAGAGGCGCCTCGTTTCTGA